AGTTCTTCATAAGAAGCAATCAAGCACTAGAACAGACACCCAGAAAGGCTGTGTAACCTCCACCTTCGGAGACTTTCAGAATTTGAGTTGACATGGTCCTGAGCTTCAAAGTTAGATTGCGTTGTTGACCCTGCTTTGATCAGGGGGTTAAAAGAGATGACCTGCAGAGGTCCCTTCCAACAGCGTTTATAACATAAATCTACATAAATCTGAAGAAAAATTGAGAACATGCACGTACTCCTAAAGAATAACCTGAAATGGTTGAGAAGCTTGTAAAACAAGTATCAAGGGCCTCTTTCACCCCAGTTCATTGAGAAGACCAGAGGTTAAGTGCTAGACTGTTTCAAAGCAAGAATATTAGTCTAATTGCTGTCCCAAGTTCTTCCAGCCACAAATATAAGCACGTCTCATTAAGAAAGCCATTCTTCATTCAAAAATTTAAATTGGTGTAATCACCACAGCAAGCACTTGAATAGTGATGTAGCATTAAGAATTAAAGCAGTGCCTCAGGAACACACAGAGAGGAAAGGCAAAAGAAGAATATTTGTGTGTTTTAAATCCATTTCAGACAGTAACAAGCCACACACAAATGCTTCTAGACTATTACTACAATGCAATAAAAATATTAAAATAAATAGAGAAAATCCATACATCAACCAGAAGATCTGGATCTATGCTGAACTGTCGTCCTGATAACATAGCCTGGAAGTCCTCTAAACTGCAGTCGATACTGTCAAGATAATCCAGGAGTTCAACTCTGGAAAACAAACAATATGGTATTACTGTATCCCTTAAGAAGAAAAATTCACAATTAAGTTTTACACAGATGTACTATGTGCACCTAAAAATCTTCATTAGTACTACAATTATCACATCACATTTTCACAAAAGGACTGAAAACTTCTAGCCTTGCTCTTCAGAGTAGAGCCCATGTAAAGCTGACAGATACTCCAGAACAGAAACTACATAAATTTAACACAGGTAGCAGCAGAGATACACTACCCACACCTAGCTAGCCCTACCGGAGTCCCCTCTGACTGTAAGAACTATGCAGATAAATCCTGAGAGAACGATCAGTTTTACACAGAGAGAACATTACACCGTGTCAAGACTACGCACTCAACTCATTCCCTTCACATGCAAAACAGAGGGGGTCCCGCCCTCAAATCAAGAAAAATGACACCTAAGGAATTCATATATGGAGATACAAAAGTAATCAAATGATGCATGTAAAGAAAAGACAACATTCTTAAGGAAATGAAAGTAGTGCATTCCACTCTAAGCTGCTGATATCGATTATATTAAATCATACATACCATTTCCTCTGTTACGAAATCTACATCCAATGACTATGGAGCAAGCACTATAATTATAACTATTTTCTAAACAGTGAATTTTTTTTAAGATTTTAAGAGTAATAAAAAAGATATGTATGTATGCATATAGGCAGGAAGAATGAATGCTGCCTTTAAGAATAAATGTATCACGCAGTGTATCCTAAAAAAGAATGTGCCATTGATTCCTTTCTGAGTTTGAAATAGAGAAAAAGAAAACACATACACAGAAAACCTATGGTAGAATAACACCTTATGAATTATTAGTTGCTTGGCAAATATTCATGCTTACGCTGTTACCCAATGAAAAGCATAGGGGAATTCAAAACAGCTGTACTGTACTTCAGCTGAAAAGGAGAAAGGGCAGAAGGGTCAATGTGGGGAGCTGCGGTGAAATTTGCAGGGAAGCTTGCTCTCTCAACTCTTAAGAGACGTTCAAGTAACTATTAAAAAAGAAAGTAATAACTCCACCTAACGCAATAATATTTCCGATAAAGAAAGCCTGTCAGAAATTCAGCACTTCCATACCTTTCAAGTGGTATCGAGCCTGACAAAAATTAAGCCTTCTAATATTTCTACACAAACACTTAAAATAAGATCCACCATAACATGACCAGAATAAAGGTGACCTGTAAAATCTAAGTTCCAAGTAGAAGTCGCTAATCGGTTCTCTTAACCTTAGTCAAACAATCAGTTCTGATACTTCAAAAAACAGGCTACTCACTTTCCAAGAAGATTTATGTTCTGCGAAATTACTCCATTCTCACTGAGTATGGAATCCATCATTGAGACTGGATCTTCAGCAGTTAAAGTTGACTGGTTATTCAGCTGCACAGCACTTGACATGAGCGGACTTGTAATGTCACTGATAGGGCTGAGGGGATCGTTAGCTGGGAGAGCAACCGATTCCGTGCTTTTATCCTCCTGAATTACAGGAGCATAGTCTTCCTCGTTATCATCTTCCACAATTACAATATCAGGAGAATTACTACAGCTGTAATATGAGACAAATGTGTTAAGCAACACAGTGTTTCATACTTTTAAACCGGTCCTACTTCATAGGTTCAGCTACTTCCCATTTTAGCCACCCTACTGTATGCAAATGAGCTCTCCTTCTCCATTTTAATAGGAAATAAAGCAAGATGTTCTAAGCTTATCTATTTTTCCATTGAGATGGTGTAGGAACACAACGCAGTTAATACAACTTGGCTAACAGAGCTAGGCCACAACGACAGCTGCGTTCTACGATAAAAGTATAGAAACATTTTGATATTTTTTGCATTAGAACAATTTTAAGCTTGAATATATCCAAAGCATGTATGAACCAGGCCAAAACATATGAGGCCATGAAACTAGATAGGACACGTATATTTTGTCTCTTTCCGCTTGAACAAAATGAAACTCTGGAGCAAACGTAAAGGATCTCAGTCAATAGCGTTCCAGTTAATTAAGCTTGTTATGTATACCAGGAAGGCAACTTAAAAACTCAGTGGAGAAAAGGACTCTCAAAGAATTTATCTTCCTCTATATTCTTATGATTTTCTTAATCTATAAATAATTGCACTGCCTCTCTTCCACGGCCTTAGCTTCATTACTTCTCCATCAGAAAATGTATCCACAGACATCAGTTTGACGAAAATAATAGTACTATAGTTCAAGTATCAGCTAGTACATATCTAGGTTCTATTCCCTACGGCATAATACAAGCCCTAGTAACTCAATGTAACTCAGGAATAGACTTGCAACTCAATCCCTGAACCAAATTTCAACTGCTCATAACTCAAGATGAACTTCTACTGTGCAAAGTACATCAAAGGAAAGAAGGAGCCCAGTCACAAAACACTTGAAACCACACAGACAGAATAGTTTCCACTTCAGTTTAAATGAACAAGTAGGCTGTGGTAGCTACTGAAATTAACAAGCTTAACTATAATATTATGGGGGAGGTGGGGGAGGGAGGGACACTCCTTCCCACCTGTGCTCATAGCCAAAAATAAGATGACACCAATTATTCTATCTCTGGACAAGTAGTATCCTCAGTAAGAGTGCAGGAATAGCGATTTCTTTTCACTGCTTTCTGACTTCACCATACAGAAATTCCAGTAGCCAATTTAACTCTTTGAAACAAATCCACAAGTCAAAACATCAGAACCTACTGTGAATTCACATGAAGCTACTACACGTGCAGGAGTACTGAACAACACTTGTATGCAAGACATCTGAATTGTTGCATACCATAGAACAATGAAAGCTACTTATCTACATAGACTTCTACAGATTTCTTACTTGGAAGAATCTGAAGTGGTATCTTCATTTGTTTCTGGTGTAATAGGAGGATTTTCTTCATTACCCATGGTGTTTTCTTCATCACCCACATCTTCAGTGACATCATAGATAATGATATCATCTGAAATCTGCTCCCTTTGTTTTAAGCCCTCAGGTCTGTTAAGAGGCACCTGAGAATTATTTTAAAAAGATTAAGGGAACAATTACACTAGCTTCAGCATTCTGACAGTTATCATTGCATCTAAAAATGCTTTAAATCTAAAGATGTGCAAGCATTTTCCTGCATCTCAGAGATCACGGGGTGATTGTACAGGTTTACGTTTAATAGAAAAAACACACACGAACGAACAAGTTGCAGAATAGCAGCTACAGGAAAAAATGCTTGGCAATACAGGCACAGAAATAAAAATACACTAGCACTGTCAGAGAGTAAAAATAACAATAAAGTTACAGCTATGGTACTACTCAAGAACCAAAAACACCAAAAAAGTGATCTTAGTCTTGATCTGCCATTGAAGTAGCACCTTGCTGTAAAGCTACTACTTTTAAGAGGTAGCATTCCCATGTTATACCATTCATTCTGGTATCTTTTCTGCCCAGAATTATTTGGACAGCGGAAAGTAACTGTCAGTGGCGTCATGCATTCAAACGTCAACGGAATTGACATGATATTGCTGGATTGGATATTGCCTTGCAGAGCAATCAACTTTATTCTTGTCCTTTGATGAGGCTACGGGCTACTAATTCCCAGAGACTTCAAAAAAAAAAAAAAAAAAAAAAAGTCAACATCACACACCACAGAACATATCAGTGTTATTTCTAACAGCACTATGATTAAAAACGAACTGCTTTCCATAGTATCACATATTGAGCTGTATTTAATACTCAGGTGAGTGGCTAATACTTGCTTATATACTGAGAAGTGAATGAAAAAGATACAGGAAAAAAAATACAACACGGCATACCACCTCTTAAAGCTGATAGTTCTCATAGTGCAGATGCCTAAATTTTCATTCCCCACAAGGCATGCTACTTCATCCGTCTACTCCCTTACTCCTTACCTTTGTTGTAACACAGGGCACATATAAAAGAAAACTTACGTGATGGCTACTGTCAGCTGGTTCTTTGACAATTTGTTGAAATACATTTGACTTTGCAGGTCCATTAGTGTTCAGAAGTAGAGGCCTGAACCAGGAAGAAAAAAGAAAGTAATCTCAAAACTGTTTCTTCAGTTGTTAGTCTACAAAACCTCTCAGCATATTGGCTGGAGAGCAAGTTTTCAGGATCATACTTACCTCTTACGCTTCAGGCTCACTAGTTGGTTATTCTGCACCAAGGTAACAATAAATTGCACAATCTATGAGGAAAATAACACTACTGTTAGTAGCTTTACTATGCAGCTGTTTGTTTCAGAGTATCAAGATACTTTATAGCATAAAACCTCAGCAATAAACTCTATACATTAGCAGCAGAACGCTTATTTTGTATGGTAACTTTCCTATAGATCAATTCAGGAAAGTTAAAATTAAAATCAATCAGAAAATTACTGCCAGGTAATATATCTAAAAAGAATACAGTTAATCAGTTCTCTAAGAAAGGCTTTTTCGTACAGGAAGCGATAGAGTAGACTTTACACTGAATCATTAAATATATAGACATAAAATCCAATAACTTAAACTATTAAAAGAATCCTAAGCAGCAAATGACAGAAGGCACATTAAGGTTGTTTAGAGATATAGGTTATGTATACAATCAAAACTGGTCCTGGTGAAAGACACTGTCACAGATTCGGAGGGGAAAAAAAAGATACATACAGACTATTCATCAGCTGCCCCATTGCAATGTTAGCCTTTCATTGTATATATCTGACTTGAACGGCTCAAAAATCAGTACGAGTCTGTGCTACAAGGCTGCCTACAGTATTGCTGTGCTGTGATATGCAAACAAAAAAAGAATCCCTAAGCTTTTTGCACTTACATCAGTTTTGACAGATCATAAGTCTAACTTAAGCTAAGCTAATGTAGTATGTGTGGGTTCCATTCAATAATCTATTATTCTGATAGCTTTAGAAATACAAGCTTAGTGTTAAGTGGGACAATAATGAATTCTCATTATAGAATTTCCTAATTTTTTCCAGTGAGATACACTTTTTCCTAAGATCTGTCAGCCCCACGTATTTGTCATCTGTCTCCTGAAGTAACTGCAAATGGATGGATCATTTTAAGGCTACTGTAACGAATTATGTACGATGTTCCTGTACCTCTTTCTTTGAAGATGTTTAAAGGGAGTTTTGGTGTTATCTTCTGCTTACGCAGCAAGATATGCTGAACGTTGGTTTTACAAAGATTTGTTCACTATACACCACTTACTGTTTTTTCTACTAAAAAGACATTTCGTACACTCCAAAAAAAAAAAAAAAAAAAAAGAGCAAGTACAAATGCATGAGAACCTGTAGCAGATATTCCTAGTTAGGATGGCATCATGAACTGGTAATACTTGAATGGTTGAAGACTCACCTTCCGAATAACTTGCTGTTGTTGCAAGTGTTTTGCTCTCAGCTCTGCCACTTCCCTCCAAAGAGATTCATTCTCTCTGTTTAAAAAGGATGATTTAAGTCAAACTAAACCTAGGTTTTAAAATACTTAATCTTTAACCAAAAATTGTTAGTGTAAGTGGTTTCATTAAAATGTTTTTGAAATACGTTTTTAAGATAATGGGGG